CTGGTATATTTTTTTGAGTGTACTGTCTAGCGCCTGCTGTCTTTTCTTTAAGATATTTGGCATGAGCTCTATCACGGGTTTTCATCATCAATTTGATATTATAAGTTATATACGGGAATGCTTTATGTTTTCTGTTTACCGTGCAAATTGGAGCATTTTCGTCAAAAAGCATAATGATGCATTCGTTGACAAAATTTTCTTTGGAATTAATGTCTTGCATAGTCACAATATCAGCATCTTGAGGAAAAAGTTCATGATTGAAATTGATATTAAAATCACCAACTAACACCACAGTAGATGTTTCCAAATACTCTCGTTCCAGTACATCAGCTAACTCCTGCATACATTCCTCTACATTTGTTTCTGGTGGGCGATAAACAACTCCACAAGCTACTTTTTGTTTGTTTATATTGACTATAATCCATAGCTACTCCAGACCATTTTCCGAAATATAATATAATTTGTATAATTTGTATTTATACAGCGATTTGATGAAAAAACATCTCCACCACCTCTACCATCACGGTCCATACGTATCAAGTTGAAGTTAGGTATAGTCACAAATTTATCTGGATATTCTGGAGCGAGCCATGTTTCCGTGACTCCAATTATTGAAATTTTGTTATTATTGATAGTATTCGAAATCACCCAAACAATTATTCAAAGAACGAATATTCACGTGACCGAATCGTATCAATATGTAATTGGCCGTTTCTTATATGTAATCCGCCATCTTATATTTACAATTCATAATTTATTTAATTGTATTTTCATCAAAACTAAAGGTATATACCAAATTTCAAATCAATCTGTCAACAGAAAAGAGGTCAAACTTCAATGACTGAATTTGACTCAAACAAACAACCAGGGCAAGCTAACTAAAACCGTTTAAAACTACCAAATTCACAACACAAAACTGTTAGAAATATACTGCCAACCACAAGCAGATTGCAAGAAAAGTATAGAAAAATATGATGATTTTTAAAGTTTTCAATTATAACTAGTTTCATCCCACTTAGTTCAATCGTTCTTCAACTCCATCCTCAATGTCCTGAATTTTCTTCCAGATTTCGAGAAATTTTGATTTACTTCATGAAGTCCATCCAGAATACAAATTTTTCATCTTTCAACTTTTTTATAGACAGATGGAGATAAAACAATCGCTTTCTCCGTTTGGAGAAATGATATAAACTGAAAGTTGTTCCATTCGTCTTCTTCCTACCATTCCAGAAATGTAATTTCGGTCGTCATTTGTTTGGAGGACTGACTTCTCTCGCCTGTAGATCATTTCGGCGTTACAGCAAATAGTTTACCGGTAGGCTATAAATAATATATCTGAAATCACTCACGTGGAAGCAAGGAATGCAAGTCGTCTTATTTGATAACACTCTGAATACTGGAGAAGCTCACCAAAAGGTTCATTCGTGTTATGATAAACATATGATTTACAGATCACAAATCATTGAACGTTAAATATTTATGCGTTCTTGCCATAGGCGGCGCTTTAGGAGTGAGAGGTTGACATATTTTGTTACTACTTGATATTGAAGCTCTTCCATTTTGTTAAATAAAGATATTTTAAGGAGTGCATTTGACTCCTAAAGAATATGGACATTCATTTTCTATAAAATATTAGTGGATTTCTGATCTGTACCTATTCCTGTCAAATAATTTATAGAACTAGATTCAACACATATCCGTGTCCATCCATAAAACACGAGTTTCTGTAATAGTAGCTTTTGATATGAATTACCGAAGGCCTTATTTTGTTACAATGAACATTTTCTCAGAAGTAACCAAATCTTAAACTCCTGCCATTGTGGCCTGTCTATGACGGGTTACGTGCACGAGACGGTGTAATCATTAGCAATGGACCCGGTTCTGCCAACAGAGTTAATTGATGTCATTAGAGTGGCGGAAAAGGGAGTCCCAGTCACCCCATTTCAGCTGCCAGCGACAAACCGCCACTTCATTATCAATACCTGTCAAAAATTATATGATGGAAGTGCTTCCAGCTTGTAAAACTGATATCATCAAGGGGATGATAGCAAGGGAGTTGTATAAACGATGTGGGAATTAGGGAATACCTGCAGTGTCGAGACTGAATTAGAGAAGGGGTACATGGCGATAAATTACTATTTTATTGGAATTGATTGTCGGTTCGACAGGCTGAACATTAGTTATTTACGGAAACAGTTAGGATGAGCTTTATTTTGTGTACTCTGGGTGAAATATGAGGATGATGTAGGTGTATCGAACGAAGACGAAGTTGTCTACTGAAGGTCAAAAGTTTCAACAAATTAGAAATTCTATTTCATTTACTGCTGAATTCTCGTTTCGGTACTATTTGAAATCGATAAAATATCTTCTATTACTCGATAGGAAAATATACCTCATGAAAACAGTTACGTAATATAAATGTTTATCTGTTAGAAAATTCATCTTGGGTGTTTCCATATAGTGAATTTCAATTAATACGTGCCACCATGAATTTCTGTGACTGTAAAGAAATCGTGAAACATATCAAGTTCACTTTTTTGGAGGGCACATTACTATGAAAAATCAACCCTTTGTGAGCCACTTCCTCGGCGGGTTGGCTGTCCTTGTTCATCTTTCACTGCCTGAACCACTGTGCATGCTTGGGATGTGGGAGTTGAGCAAACCGGTCATCGGATGCCTGCTTCCACGTAGCCCCGCTGAATACGGGAATGAGAGAATCACTTGTAGTTCTGTTATTCCCTAACTGAATGGCATACCAACGATGGCTTAATCCTAAGGTGTGTGTATCCGTGCCGAGAGGATGAAATTCAGACCAGGAGCGAGTCTACAGAGGAGATGGATGCTTACGACTTCAACTGACCTCCCTGTAAATTTAGATCAGGAGCGAGTCTATAGAGGAGATGGATGTCGAGCTTACGACTCCAACTGACCTTCCTGATATCAGGAGCGAGAGTTTCTCAACTCTCCAACACCTGATCCAATCAGTGAACCTAGAAAAGAAGGTATGGTGGTGCCGCCAGGAAACGACTGAGTCGTCTCCTCAAGAGCGGGGTACCTTATGAAACCGCCCTGCACCAAATATTTGAGCGGCGTACGCAGAATCTGTCTCAGGTGGAGGAACAAACCCCCCATGAGCAGGTTAGCAAACGTTTGCGCTCAAGTGATGATTCACCAAAACCCGAGGCGAAAAAGCCCTGCACGGTTGAAACTAAGGCATACTCAGGTGTAGCTGACATGCAAAAACCCTCATATGGGAAGGTTGTCTCGGGTATCAAGGTGGGAATATTGCACCTTGACTATCCGACTACCTCATTAACGATGAAACAGCAGAGCATATACTTTGTGCCTGCCCCGCTGGGGACCAACTCAGGTTTTTAGTGTTCGGCAGAGCCGTATACCTACCATCTGACCTGAAAGACCACTCACCATACAAACTAATCGGCTTCGTTAAGAAGCTGGGTTTGTTTGGTCGAGTGTGAGTTACAATAAACCCTTGTGGTTGCGGTGGAGGGTCGAATAGACCCACTCACCTTGGACCTAATCTTACCCAACCTAAGCCACTCCCTCACGATGACAACCCTCGTGCCAAAAATTCCAAATGGAAGTAATAGTGGAGTAACACCGTATTTGAAACATTTTTCATATTATAAGAACATAGGTTTTCACGGCCGGAAACACGACTAGAGAGAACAAAATCTAACCTAGAAGGCCGTGGTCGAATGGAGTATCCAAAGTTTCGTCTGCTACTGCAGCACACATCATCAATATCTGCTGAAAACCCCTATTCATATTTTTTCTCATTCATATATTTTGAATTATATGTCGACAATTCAGTAATCACTTGATATTACATATATTCTGTTCGGAAAAGAAATTTGTCAACCTGAACGATTACGACTGACAAATTATATATAATTAATTGCTCAAGTAGTTATGTTCCAACCTTGATAGTGAAGTAGTGATAGATGAGATTGGTATCCCGCTGAGCTACTACCACATCAGCATTATAGCAAAACAAATTGAATGATAATTTAATTCCACCTATTTCGTTATCATATTTAAAGATGAATTAATAGCCTGTTTTTTAGGAGTCTGGAGTAATATTTAGCAGACGATGAAATGAAGTGTCGACGACATAGAAAATCGTTATACCATTTTGTACATTATTTTTACATTACTGGAAATTGGAGTGAAGTGGATAGATAAAACCTCATTACATACGTATCCCTACATAGTCATTTCTGTCCATTTGTTTGGTTCAGTTAGATTTCCTTTTGATTAATAGTAATATATTTTATTGACAAGATTTCTTAATATTATCTTCATATTATCCGTCAAGGTCGAACAGAAAATATGTGCGCGATGGTGAGATCAACTAACTTTGTGAAAATGTCGTAGTTTGCAAGATAAAATATTGGAAAAATATGCAGTACTTTTTGATTTGAAACAAAAATTGTAATTTACGTACCGAGTCCGGAAAATACTGTTTTTTGAACGAGTACACAACATTCTAGGATGAGCCGCAGACGAATCCTGAAAAGGCGAAATAGCAAGTGTCTTATGCTGAAACATCGGATGTCTACCAGTGAGGATGACAGTGTGCCATGTAAGTGAAATTGTACCGTGTTAGGAATAACACGTTAAAAGGTAAGACCTCGTTAGTCCTTAGCTCGCACAAGTTTTTCAACTTTTGAGAGTTGTCGTTCGTTTGGGGCGACAGCTGATTAACGGAAAAGCAGATGTTAAAAAGACAGACAGATTTTTATTTATTATATTGTATTCAATATTCCATAACGAATGTTTGGAATACAAACTGGATAGAGAGATTTTTTTTTGTATAATTCAGTGTTCGTATGGAAGTATTTGTTTCGAAATTATTTTCTTGTGTTATTCAGTGTTTACATAAAAGTAGATGTTTCTAGAGGGCTTTCTAGGGTTTTCTAGAGGGCTACATATAGCGTTAATTTTTTGAAATCGATTGATTTCTTCCTCGTCCTGGAATATTCCACATTTTTTTTACATAAAAGTAGATGTTTCTAGAGGGCTTTCTAGGGTTTTCTAGAGGGCTACATATAGCGTTAATTTTTTGAAATTGATTGATTTCTTCCTCGTCCTGGAATATTCCACATTTTTTGTATAAATATGGAGATGTAGTGAGCCAAAACTTTTTTTCCAAAAATTAGTTTCTCACGTAATATCCCTTTCAATTTCAATAGTTATTCTGCTATTCCAGGTGGAGACGAATCCAACAAATTTAAAGTCATGAAAATCGGTTCAACCAATCTTGAGTTATAAATGTGTAAGTAACAAACACGGATTCGCCACTTTGTTTTATATAGATACTGGATTTCAGTTAGGAACTTATATCAGTTCGTATTCGATGAATATAGTGAAAAAATGTCAACACTGTTCTACCTGGTTAGAAAAATCAGAGCTAAAATTAATTCTGTAAAAAAACACGTTTGTTGGCAAGTAAGTTATTTTCCATTTGTTTTCTAAATTTTGTTGACGACATTGATTTTAATAAATCATGGAGACGATAATAGTCGAGAAATATNAATGGTTGGTTCAACAATATATTTAATATATTTCCACCTTGGAACTTGTCATTTAAAATACTGGCTTCGACAACGTTTTCCACTGATTTTTCAGTTTTCCACCAGCCGTGGTGGAATCAAATTACGGACCGATCCAACCTTCAGTTGTGAATTATACGGTCATGTCTGGCAAATCCAATGAGTTAAAAAACTCTGTTGAATAATTCACAACTTTGATGGCATCGCAAAATGTATCTATGCTCGATGGATAAACAATAATAGTACCTGATAACTGTGTAAGGAGTGAAAGAAGGCTTATTGTGTGAGAGAGACAAGAGACCGGCTACATTCTTATCCCTGCTTAGTCAGTTTACTGAATGAGGAGTGTAATCGAGAGACGTCCCGCCGGAATAACTGATTACTTAAAAGGCAGTTACAAAATAGCGGTTATTGATAAGTGGGTGAAAATTGAGGGTTATATGTATTTTTCGAAACCACATCATAAACAAATAAAAACAAAGAATTTTGTCAAAAAAATATAAAAAATATTTGGGGTGGAACACCCTTATCACTTAGGGACGAAGAAAAAAATAAGATTGAAACCTATTCTCAAACCCTACCGAATCTATACTATACTAATAAAAATGTGGAAGTTTGTTAGGATGTATGTATGTATGTATGTATGTTCATGTCTATTTCACACCTAAACGTGAAAACTTATAGATCAAAATAACGTATAGGCTACAATTTACAAAGGTTTTGTGTAACTTTTGGTCATAATATAGTGGTAAGTATTTAGAAAGTCGGAAAAAATCTTGCTTCCTGAGAGCTATTTTGGCGTGCGCTGCCCATACGGTTGAAGTTACATGCAGATGCTTA